CTATTTCCCATCGCCGCCGCGGTGGAGAACCATAGCTCTGGTTCATCACTACACGGCTGGCGGTGGTGGTCTCGGTGGCGGACGTGGCGGAGGAGCAAGCAGGTGGTGGTCTCGGTGGTGGTGGGGGCGGTAGAGGTGCAGGTGGTGGTCTCGGTGGCGGACGTGGCGGAGGAGCCGGTGGTGGATTTGGCATTGGGATTGGTGTTGGTGTTGGAGTTGGCGTCGGCAGTGGTGCCGGAGCTGGGAAAGGAGTTGGAGTTGGGAGTGGCTCTGGCGGAGACGGCGGCGGCAGATGATTCGTTACTTGGCCGGCCGTCTGTTGATTTCTGGCAGATGTTCATATATTACCATTATCATTATCATTATCTTGGCAATGTATATTGGTTATATTCTGAATTATTTTTATCACATAGAATGGTACATGTACAAATGGACTGGTACATGTACCAGTCCAGTGATACATGTACCAGTGGACTGGTACATGTACCAGTGGACTGGTACATGTACCAGTGGACTGGTACATGTACCAGTGGAGTGATAGATGTACCACAATACTGGTACGCGTTTATAACTTTTTCCAAACAACACAAATATTAAATAACGATGTTTCAAGTTGTGATATATTTACCACAGTACTGGTACATTTACCAGTAGAGTGATAGATGTACCAGTATAGTGATCCCCTGTCAACTTCTATTTGTTGAATCCTGTTTTTTTTTCGTTTTATGAACTGTGCTCCATTTTTAAAGAACTGTGGTTGAGCGCGATAAATTATATAACGTATATTGGTTATATTCTGAATTATGTTTATCACATAGAATGATACATGTACAAATGGACTGGTACATGTACCAGTCCAGTGATAGATGTACCAGTGGAGTGATAGATGTACCACAATACTGGTACGCGTTTATAACTTTTTCCAAACAACACAAATATTGAATAAGGATGTTTCAAGTTGTGATATATTTACCACAGTACTGGTACATTTACCAGTAGAGTGATAGATGTACCAGTATAGTGATCCCCTGTCAACTTCTATTTGTTGAATCCTGTTTTTTTTTTTCGTTTTATGAACTGTGCTCCATTTTTAAAGAACTGTGGTTGAGCGAGATAAATTATATAACGTATATTGGTTATATTCTGAATTATATTTATCACATAGAATGATACATGTACAAATGGACTGGTACATGTACCAGTCCAGTGATAGATGTACCAGTGCACTGGTACATGTACCAGTGCAGTGATAGATGTACCAGAGTACTGGTACGCGTTTATAATTACCAACTGTTTTTCAAACAACACAAATATTAAACAAGACACCATAATAGGTAATTCCCATCCATAGGATCAATAAAGTTGTTTCAACACGGGTGTCCGAAATGTAAACAAAGACCAAATTATCCTTCAAATTCAAATAACCAAATAGTCCACTAGAATCATAAGCAAAAAAGAATCAGTTGGCGAAGGATGGCTGGGTCACTTGAGTAGCTGCAGTGAACAATGTTTCGTGTGCCTCAGAAGCTTTAACTGTCAACTCTTCAAGCATTAGGTTACTCTCGTCCTCGAGCATGTCTGTAACTATTTCCACAATCAAGCATTAGGCATCTCAGGACCAGTTCTCTTTGTCCTTGCCATTCCTGGTTTAATTGGAAGATAAGTCAATTCTACGAACTAACAAACGTACCAGTGTAGTGGTACTTTCAAGAACAAAAAATAAGTTGTAAATACCACTGCAGTGATAGCCCTATAAACATAAACTTTACAACTAACTACCACTTTAGTGATATTTTAACGAATCCAGCGATAGACAATCATTAGCTTGTGAAGGATTTACGACTATAATGCTAGATATACAACTATACTTACACATCTACCACTAGAGTGATATACCACACTACCACTACAGTGATAGAACTACCACAACAGTGATAGAACTACCACTACTGTGATAGAACTACCACTGCACAAGACAATCAAAAAATTTCATGCACTGCGCAAGACAATCAGAAAACAACATGCAATGCCGTAATGAAAGAGACGACAACAATAAAAGAATTCGGAGTATACTTGCCTCAGTTTAGGATGAATTAAAGGGGAAAATCACGCCGGCGCCGCTATCGTTAAATATATAGCCTCTGTCGCAGCTATACTATCGTGGACGGGAATCGCTCAAGCGGGTTCGAAGTCGATGTAGCGGGGGGAAAGAGAGACGACTTCCGACGGGCCGACGGCTGTTTTGTGAAGGAGATGATGTTTAACGGCGGCGCCGAAGGGTTGCGAAGGGTTGCGAAGGGGTAGTGATGAGTCGGCGTCGAAGGGTTGCGGCGGGTGCTGAAGTCTATGGTTCGGGATGAAAGAGAGACGACTTCCGACGGGAGGGAGTGGGCGACCGCAGTTTGTGAAGGAGATTAGGGTCTACGGCGGCGATTTTATGAGTCGGCGGCGAAGCGTTCTTTGTGGGTTCTGGAGGCAGAGGTATAGAAGGGAAGGGGAACTGAAACGGTGAAAGTGAAAAAGGTAAGAGGGAATGAATTTTAAATTATGGGTGGGGTCGCCACTTTTACTTCTTTCTCTTTTTCTATGCAATTAATTATCAATAATTACTAACTGTAAGCAATTAATCTTAGATTAGGACTATCTACAATGGACCAATCAAATGATGGGTGTCGAAAATGACTACCCCTTTAGGGGTAGTCAGGCTAACCGGTCCAGGAAAGGAAACGTTTGTTTCATACGTTTGTCAGGTCATATGGCAACAAAAGGGTTAATTGGAAATTAACTTTTTAACATTTCTTGAAATTGGTATTGTGTTGTGGAACAATCAGTATTTTTAGATTATTGTTGGATAGTCACTACGTAATTTTATTATACTTCCAAAAACCTTTGATGAAATCTTAACTTATTCTCCAAATTGCTTTTCACAACGATGAATGGACGATATAAAAAAATAATAATTATGCTAAATACTTTAGCAACATGTTTTTCTACTTTTAGATCACCTACTTCTCCATAAACGTGTTTTTTATAAAGGTTGCAACTCATTCCAACTTTCATTCAACGTAAAAAAAAAAACATAAATTGGTTTGTAAATAAGACGAAACGAGCGACTGAAAGTCCATGATAATCATACAAGCTAAAATTATGCTTAATCTGAAATGTTATCGAAACCAAAGGACAAAGAATGTCCTCGACTTCAAGAAAAAATACGCACTTGTTATCCTCACGATAAATATGGGAGATAGAAACCTCCTATTTGAGCAAGCAAATCTTAGAAACGGTGAACAATGGCGACATGTTGGTGGTCCAAGCGTCGATGCTCGATCTTGAGAAGTTATACCACACATTTGGAGTCGAACTCAACAGGCGATTGTCGATATCACGAGCCTCGCACCAACTAAAGTCCTTCAAGATCGCCTCTCAATTTGGCTCGGGTTGATGGAGCGTATTATCGAGTTTGGCTGGCATAATACAAGCCCAACAAATGGAATTTTCCCTGGATATATATAAAACCTGAACACTAATATAATGGGTAACGGAGGACATGCTTTGTTTATTATCATAACTGAATTTGACAAGTTATACATACATACATACATACATACATACATACATACCATAGGCGGAGCTAGCCCTATTGGGTATTGTCCCAGGATATGGGTAAGTTTTGGGACGAAAAAAATACCCTATATATGATTATGCTACAACTTATTACTTGTTTATAAATTGAAATAAAACTAATTTATTATACTATAAATGAAATCCCAATTGGAATAAAGACCTAATATGATCTTTGTTTTCTTCTTCTTATGCCTATTCGACTTATGCACATAAACCTTGAAGCAGTCCAGCCGCAACGACAATTCAGTAGTTTTGATTCTACTCGTTGCAACGGCAAGTGTAGAGAGTATTTTCAGTTTTGAACTATGTTCATATCAAACTTCTAAATCAAATCGACAACTAGTTTACTAATTGTTGTTTAGTATGATACAATGAAATCGACTTGAGAATGTAGATAACGAATGTACTTTCCGTTTCTCTTGGAATATGAAAACAATGATTTCATTAGTCGATTATATTTTAATTTAATTATTTGAATATTATTAATTTTGATGATATTTATTAAACATTTATATATTTATAAGATGACATGGGTAGTTTTAAATCTTGTCTTCGCCACTATTACATACATATTCAACTTTTTCTATAAATCATCCGTTTTCTCTTAACATATTTGATAGTCATAATACACATATACATTACATGAACTAGTGTTCATTTTTATTACTTCTCTTAATATTAGTGGTCTAAAATTATTTATAAAATTTCACTTTTATAATGTCTAATATTCTTGTGATTGGTAACACTAGTTTAAAATGACAAGGAGAAAAATATTATTAGTGTCTATTAATTTGAACATGAATTCAATTTACTATACAAACCCTCTATTCGTATGCATATCAATATAACTGAAATACTTTAGTATAAAATAATGGGTATATCACATTATTCACTGGACACCAGCAGCAATGCACAAGCACAAGTGAGATAGAAAGTTACCTCCGAACAAGAAAAGGTACGACTTTCACTATTTACGACTTACTTACTTACCGGATTCTGTTAACGCGTGCTTAACACTCACCCGCTGGTTCGCTCCGTCGCTCGCCTTTACTCTTTTAATCATGTAATTAATTAACAAAATTCTCTTGTTCTCGCTTCCCGTCAAAAAAGCTCCTTAGATTTACTGTTACATATTCCTCTTTTTCAGTTTTCCTCCTCTTCTTTTTCCTATGTCAGGCAAGGCAAGGCTGCTTCTTTCTTTCTTTCTCCTTTTTTTCTTGCTTTCCCTCCCTAGTTATTGCTGCTGCTTTCCTGTAAAACCTTTTTTAGTATTATTATTTACTGCTATGGGGGAGATGGGCCACGCAAGGGGATGAGCCTTGACACTTGTGAAATGTGAACTGTACTGCTGCATAGCTGTACTCTCCTTCTTCTTCTGTAGCTGTAGCCTTTCCTAGCCTTTATTACACTATTGTTTCAGTATATATAACTGCTTCGGTTGGCAGTAGAGAGAGTCTGAAACCTTGTGAAAAAGCTTTTGCTTTGTGGTGTCCTTCCCCCCCAGATCAGCAAAGCCAGCAGCAACAGTAGTAGTAGAAGAAGAAGCATCAATGAGTCTTGTTTCTTCTTCTCCTCTACATTAGTAGCCATTTCTTCGTTCTTCTGCTTCCTACTCTTGCTTTCTCACTTGGGTTCCAGTAGTGGGTTGAGGGGCAAAAAGGAGGGAGGGAAAAAGAAAAAAAAGGGGGGCAAATTTGAGGAATGGGAACTCGCTCATTTGCGAAGCTGTTCTTATGGCTGCTGCTGTGCTTGTTTGGGTTGCTGGGTTCTCAGCTGATCCAAGCTACTGTTACTTATGATAGGAAGGCAATTGTGATTAATGGGCAAAGGAGAATCCTTTTCTCTGGCTCCATTCACTACCCGAGAAGCACCCCTGATGTAAGTAAAGCCTCTACACTGTCACTTTGCAGTTTACCCATCTTTCTTCTGTGTGTTTTTAATGGGCAGAAGCTCTTTGTTGAATTTACTGAGCGAGAAGAAAAAATGTGGGTTGCTCTTTTGCTTTCGTAGATGTGGGAAGATCTGATACAGAAGGCTAAAGATGGTGGGGTGGATGTGATTGAGACCTATGTCTTCTGGAATGTCCATGAACCCAGTCCTGGAAATGTAACTTTAACTTCCATCTCTTTCCTATCTCTCGTCTTGGGGTTATGCCATTCATTTAGTTTGGATTTGCTGATACTTGCCTATGGTGGGTTGCAGTTCAATTTTGAAGGCAGAAATGATCTGGTGAGGTTCATCAGGACCATCCATAAAGCAGGGCTCTATGCTCATCTTCGCATTGGACCATACGTCTGTGCTGAATGGAATTTCGGGTACCATTTATTTTCTTTTCACTCTGTAGAGATCTAGCTGCTGCTAAGCTTCTTTCCCTTCTACCTTCTCTTCTGCTGCAGCTTCAGATTCACTACTTCTCAACTCACCTTATGATAAGAGAACTTATTCTTCTTTGCCTCATTAGTTGGATGTGGTTATTTGCAGAGGGTTTCCGGTTTGGTTGAAGTATGTCCCTGGAATCAGCTTCAGAACAGATAATGAGCCTTTCAAGGTCTCTTTTATTTTCTTTTATAAATAAATTCTTTGTTTTACTTGTTTTGGCTTCCTTTAATTGAAAGTCTCTGACAAGTCAAAGCAAAGCTTATTCCAAGCAAAAAACAAGTGGATATCTTAAATTCCTTTCTTAAACTATAACTATGGAAGTGATGAAGACCCCTTATGCTTATGTCATGTGGTGTTTGCAGAAAGCAATGCAAGGGTTCACTGAGAAGATTGTGGGATTGATGAAGAGTGAAAACTTGTTCGAGTCCCAAGGTGGCCCTATCATTCTTTCTCAGGTAATTTCACATTCCTTCGAGGTTGCAGATGAATGTTAGCAACAGATTCCATCAGATTTGTAGTAATCTAACGCATGAATATGGATGTCCAGATTGAAAATGAGTATGGAGTACAAAGCAAGCTTTTTGGTGCTGCTGGATATAACTACATGAGTTGGGCTGCAGACATGGCTGTGAAGTTAGGAACAGGAGTCCCATGGGTAATGTGCAAGGAAGAAGATGCTCCAGATCCAGTTGTAAGTTGTCCTCTTGTGCCACATCGACTCCGTATTATACACAGATCTTACATTAAAGTAATATGTCCCAAGCTAAGAGAGATGTTGTATTTGGCAATGGCAGATAAACACATGCAACGGGTTTTACTGTGATCAATTTGCTCCCAACAAACCATATAAGCCTACAATGTGGACTGAAGCTTGGAGTGGATGGTACTTGCATGCAGCATTTGTTCCTTCCTTCTGTAACCTTGGAATTGCTAGCTTGAGCTGAAATGTTGACTTGCCTGTTAATTTTCTTGGTACAATGATATGAAGGTTCTCAGAGTTTGGGGGCCCTCTTCACCAGCGTCCAGTTCAAGATTTGGCATTTGCTGTTGCCCGGTTTATTCAAAAGGGGGGATCATTTGTCAACTACTACATGGTTAGTTCCTTCCGCACAATGGCTCTTCCGTGGAAGCATAGTTTAGATAGGATATAAATAGAAAACTCAATTGTTTATAATGTTACATGAAACAGTACCACGGAGGGACCAATTTCGGCCGGAGTGCTGGAGGCCCGTTTATCACTACCAGCTATGACTATGATGCTCCCTTGGATGAATATGGTAAGGGATTTGAAACTGGCCACCCTTATGTTGTTACTGTCTGATAGACGGATATGTCAAGGCATCCTTAACGTTTTTTTTATGTACAAAATTTCTTCAGGCTTGATAAGGCAGCCAAAGTACGGTCATCTTAAGGAGCTCCATAGGTCGATTAAGATGTGCGAGCGTGCTCTGGTTTCAGTTGATCCTATGGTAACTCAGTTAGGAGCATTCCAACAGGCTCATGTGTACTCAACCGAACATGGAGATTGTGCAGCTTTTCTTGCCAACTATGATACAAAGTCTGCTACAAGAGTGTTGTTCAACAATATGCATTACAACTTACCTCCTTGGTCTATTAGTATTCTTCCAGACTGCAGAAATGTGGTGTTTAACACCGCTAAGGTAGTTATGAATCGAGGTTTTGGACCAGAGTCAAATGCTGGATTAATGATGATATACTAATTGCTTGTGCTTCTTCTACCCAGGTTGGAGTTCAAACATCTCAAATGGAAATGCTGCCAACAAACATTGAAATGCTTTCATGGGAAAGTTACGACGAGGATGTTTCGTCTCTATACGATGGCTCAACATTCACTGCTTCTGGTCTCCTTGAGCAGATAAATGTCACAAGGGACGCAAGTGACTACTTGTGGTACATCACTAATGTCGACATTGGTTCATCTGAAGCCTTCCTGCGTGGTGGGGAACTGCCTACCCTAATTGTTCGATCGAGTGGCCATGCTGTTCATGTTTTCATCAACGGGCAGCTATCAGGTGAAATACATGTTAATTATCTTCTTACCATTTTCAAATTTCTGTAGCTACTGAGTAGCTAGCTAGTTTTCTTACTACTAACTGTTATTTCTCTGTATGTACTAGGTTCTGCATTCGGAACTAGGGAGAACCGGAAGTTTACATACACCGGGAAGGTCAATCTAAGAGCTGGGAAGAACAAAATTGCATTGCTGAGTGTTGCTGTTGGATTACCAGTTAGTTTCTGACCCTATTAAATTTTCTCATATCTGTTAGTGTCAAAATTTGAACATACAGTGGAAGAAATGAAGTCTCTGCAAAATTGGTATCTAGTTTCCTTAAAATCTCAGATGGGTTATTTTTGTGATCATGGCAGAATGTGGGTGGACACTATGAGACATGGAACACTGGAATCCTAGGTCCAGTTGCTCTTCATGGGCTTGACCAGGGTAAATGGGACTTGTCCTGGCAAACATGGACCTACCAGGTAATTATTAATTGATCGCATCTACTTCCTCTCTTTCTTGATATGTAAACAAAAAAGTACCCTTTTGCCCCCAACTTTAATCTTCACTTCCCAAACAGGTTGGACTCAAAGGAGAAGCCATGAATCTCCTCTCTCCAACTAGTGTCTCCTCTGTTGATTGGATGCAATCATCTTTGGTTGTTCAGAAACAGCAACCTTTGACATGGCATAAGGTGTGTGTGTGTCATTAATATGAAATAAAACTTAAAGCTTGTCTGGTAAACTTTGTTGCATCATAGTTTCATTGAAAACCCACTAAAAATTTGCAGGCCTATTTCAACTCACCTGATGGGGACGAGCCATTGGCACTGGACATGGAAGGTATGGGGAAAGGTCAGATATGGATCAATGGCCAGAGCATAGGAAGATACTGGACTGCATATGCAAATGGTCAATGCAACGGTTGCAGTTATGCGGGTTCATTCCGCCCTCCAAAGTGTCAACTTGGTTGTGGCAAGCCAACTCAACGATGGTAAAATTCTCCTTATTCATGTGTCATCCGTACTTGCCCACAGAATGTCAACACTCGGACAGATGTACTTAGCCTTGGAAGAACGTCATTTCTTATTACAGGTATCATGTGCCTAGATCATGGTTGAAACCAACCCAAAACCTACTGGTAGTTTTTGAGGAACTTGGAGGGGACCCTTCAAGGATTTCACTTGTTAAGAGATCGGTGGCTACTGTATGTGCCGAGGTAGCCGAGTTTCATCCGACTCTCAAGAACTGGCATATCGAAAGCTATGGAAGAGCGGAAGAGTTCCACAGCCCGAAAGTTCATCTTCGGTGTAACCAAGGCCAGACCATTTCGTCCATTAAATTTGCGAGCTTTGGTACTCCGTTGGGAACCTGTGGAACTTATCAGCAAGGAACTTGTCATGCTCCCACATCATACGACATCATCGAGAGGGTAACGCTTTCGTTCGTCCCTTCTCGCATTCCCTTCACTTGTTCCAAGCAACTTATTGATGATCAATTACCATGTTGTGTTTTTTTCTTCGTTTCTTTCTTAAACAGAAGTGCAAAGGGAAACAGAGATGTGCAGTGACAATATCCAACAGCAACTTTGGGCAGGACCCATGCCCCAATGTGTTGAAAAGGTTGTCAGTTGAAGCAGTTTGTGCCCCAACGGGTTTGAGGGTTTAGCTCTCCGATTATCAAGACTTTGTAACTTACACGCGAGCAAGGCAACTTAACTTCACACCTGGAAGAAACAAGATAGAAAATGATGAGAAAACCAAAGCCGCACACAGTACTACGTACAGGTAAGAAGGAAAGTGAAGGTTCTTGAGTTAGGTTTAGCTAAGATTTGTAGTATGGTTTCCTGCACCCAGTTGTGAGAAGCTGCAGAAAATGGTGGTTAGGCTGCCATTGAACTGTTCTTGGTTGTTAAATTATGGTCCAATTAGTGACAAAGAGTCCTGCTGTAAGTAGTGATTTGTTGGTTAGAAACTAGAAAGTCAGTAAGTTCCCAGGTACTCTGCAATTTGGGGTGCCTTTGGTGAACTTCAAAAGTAAGACTGGTGCTCCCTCCGCCTTTTTAAAGTGGGAGTGGGGCACTGGGCAATTAGAAGATGTGAGTGATGTAATTTGTATCGTTGAGGGAGGAAAATTGAAACCTCTGTTTTACCAAGTTTGGTCATACTGGGAAAAGGATCCTGGGTATGATCATTCTTTGGTGTGTGTAGTTGATGTTCGTGATTACATAATGTATCATCATCAAAATGTGTTCAGTCATGTCACTAGCTGTTATTCTGAGACTTCGTATTCCAACATATAACATTACATTAAAATAACAGTTTGTACTTGAATATCGAATCCAACATATAGTGAAAATTCAAATACACTCATAATATTAATCTTCAAATGTTCAATTTAGAATTTCAATGGTAAGGTTAGACTAGGATGATAATCGGGAGAGACGAGCATTTACAAACTAAAGAGAAAAACGACGTCGTGTGATATTCATTCCTGAAACTTTGTTGTGAGTACACTCGTGGGTGTGGAGTCGTTTCTATCATTGGATCCAGGTTGGAGTCGTTTCTATCATTGGATCCAGGTTAATCTAGGGCAACCCATGGGTTGATAACATGGTTGTCACGCCGGCCGGCGTGCCACCGGTTGTACCGGGTTCAACCGATACCGGTCATAAAACCGGCGTGACACCACCGGTATGACCGGCATGATCGATATACGAATCTCTAAGTAAAATGACTTTAATTTAGAGAATTTAATTGATAAAAATTATTTTATTATTTATTTTATGAGTATAAAAGTTAAATATTGATGTTATTTGTTGGATTCAAGTATAAATGTTTAGGTATTGACGTTAAATGTCATGTTTAAATATGAGTATTTATATTTTATTTGTAATACTGACCGGCATGAACCGGCACAAACCGGTATGTGCCACCGGTTGAACCATTCCACTTGCTAAACCGGCACACTGGCATAAACCGGTTTGACAACCTTGGTTGATAACCTTGAAGTGGATAAGGTACAAAATTCAGATATAAAACCGTCTATCAAGATGTGATCTAATGACTCAAAATTAATTAAGACAAGTAGCAATGGACTAGTAATTCTGCACCCTCTATTTTTTTTTTTTTCCGGGCATGAAATTCATATGAGGAAGGGGAGACTTTTGATCAATCAAATACTACTTTTTTCCGAATAATCATATCTCATTATCTAATCATATATCTCACTATATAATCATATATCTTTATCTAATCATATCTCATTCGTTAACTATAAATTAATTTTTTTTTTTGCATATAAATAATTCATTAATTAAGATATACACAATGAAATCTATTTTATAATATTTCGAGCAAAACAAATTTTTGCATATAAATAAATAATTAATTAAGATATACACAATGAAATCTATTTTATTATATTTTGAGCAAAACAAAAATAACTCTTCAAAATACGTGTTCGTTTTAGTACTATCACTATTATATCATTATGATATTAAGTGGTGTCAGAACAGAAGCGTGCAATCGATAATCCAAACCAACACGAACGAACACAAATTTAACGTGGTTCACTAACACAATGTGTGCTAGCTAATCCACGGGCAGAGGAGAACAAATTTCACTAATTTGAGGAGAGTACAGGTTACAAACCAAATTCCAAACTGACAAACCAAACAAACTAACCCGATTGACCTTACTACAGACTAGGGTGATAAAGAGTATTTATAGAACTCTTCTCCTAATCCCAAACAGAAAACCAAACACCTTTTCCCAAACATACAAGGGAAAAAAAGGCCAAACCCAAACCCAAACAGAATAGGCCTAAAACACAAAACAAATCCAATCAAATTCAAGTTATATTCTAACAAGTGGTATGATTGTATATCTCTCTTGTTTTAACTTTTAAAAAGAATTCATTAATTATGATCCAGACAGTAATATCCATTTTGTTATATTTTAAGCAAAAGAATAATTATCCAATGAAAAACATGTGTTTACTTTCATCTTATCACTATTATATTATGATCTTACCACTGTGGTATAACATCAATTTTTCCTCAAGGATAAAACTTCATACTATCTTACCATTGTCATACACTTATACTAACATCAAATACTATGGTAAGAGTTCATAATATAATCTCACTACTTCCATACAACGATTTTACTATTATGGTGAGAGACAACGCTATCATATCACTGTCATGTCATGATATTAGAGCTGATAATTGATAGTTGGTTAGTCGGATAACCGAAAACCATGATTATTCGGCTAACCAAAAACCGATAAAAAGGTCTATGTCTCGGCTTCGACTGAGAAATTTAAGGTAATTTGCTAACCGCCAGTTATCGGTTACTAAGCGACGTTTATTCGGGTCACCGGTAACTAACCGGCCAGCTGAACCCAGTCACACAAACAACGACGCCATAGCTCTTCCTTCCCTATCCTGATTCTTCTCTTCGTTCTCAACATCAATCTACATTCCAATTTCCAGATCCACATTGGAGAATGAAACGACCCTTAATGCAATAGTTCATCTCGACCTCTCTATCCCAAACTCACCGCTTGCCTTTCTTGATCTCGTTGATCTCTCCCCTTCCTTCCATTTCCAACTCTATTCTTCTCCCACCTATCACCTAAACTCTCCATCACAAGCTCGCTTGACCTTTTCATCCTTAGCGGTCCCCGCGTTGTCTTCCTTACAAATTGGCATGTGGCAACGGCGAGATCCAGCCACAACTTCGCTTGAAGGAAGAGAAGCAAACACGAAAGGAGGTCGCCGTAAAGTGAGAGTAGAGAAACGAGTCGACAAAATTTGAAAGTTAGTGAATTTGTGTTTACACCTAAAATATTTTTGGACTAAATTAAATGCCGCATTAATTAGTCTCGGCATTTAATTCGATACCGCGGGTAAAAAACGGTGTCGTTTGGAGTCGAGCGGCATCGCGGAGAGTTCAAACGATACCGCGAAACAAAAAACGGTACCGCAAGGAAGCTCAGCGGTACCGCGGTACTGGAAACGATACCGAAAATCAAAAGGGGGCCGCGCGTTTGATGGGGTATTGAAAGAGGAGTTTGTTTATAATTAATTAATATTTTTATTCCTGGTTGGAAGGGGAAAATCGGTACCGCATGGAGACAAGCGGTATCGCGGAGAGTTAAAACGGTACCGCGGATTTAAAAACGGTGCCGCGAGAGCCTGGTAAGCGGTACCGATTAATTAAAACTCATATCGGGCAAGTGACCAAAATTCACCCGGCCCAATGCGAGCGCCGACTGTGGCGCGTTCCATGGATTAATATTTTTTGGCTATATTGGCGGTGTCGTTTAATTCAAAACGGTACCGCGAGTAAGCCCAACGGTACCGCGGATTAGCAAACGACAGTGTTTAAAAAAGAAACAATGTCGCGGAATGGAAAACGACATTGTTTGTCGGCATCGATTAGTGAAAGGTGATGCCGCGGTATTGGTGAAACGACATCGTTGCATGGACAAGGGTGTAGGATTTGGCTCAATGTCATTTCGCCAAGTTTCTGCAAACAGGAGCGGTTTCGATGGCACGTGATTTTTACGCAAAGCAGAAAGAGGAGATCAAGGCAGTTGAGACACGTGGGGTTTCAGGACGGGGCAGTTGAAGAAGCAGTTCTACAGAGCGTGAAGACTACGAAGTTGGTTTTAGATAAAATCAACCCTGCAAGGAGAGAGAAAAGGGGGAACCAAAAATCAACACAGATCAACTCTGTTCAAACTTTACCTTTTCTCTGTAACTCCTTCGCGGAGCTCTCCTTCCAGAAAGGATCTCCATAGTTGTAGTCTTAGTCGTAGTCGCGGAGCTCTCCACAGGAATCTCCATAGGAGTAGTCGTAACGTAGATTCCTCAAAAACTCAAACACCCTCGTTCGAACGTAGTTTGGAGAGGTGCGAACCGTAGTAACGGTCGGGTTGGTTAGAAGTCAGAGGTGAATCGATTAAATCAACGACGCCGACATTCGGTGGCGGATATTTGACGGTCACGTCGATTTCACCATTCAGAGGTGCATCGATCAAATCAACACCGCCCGGTGGATATTTGACGATCGTCATCGATTTCAGCAAACTGCGGTGCATTCGATCAAACGGCACCGCAAGGGTTTCCAATCAACATCGTCGGAAAACAAATTCGGCACCGGCGGTGGCATTTGGTTTTTCCGAGGAAACAATTTGAAAGGATTCTCTTATGTCGATAAGAAAGTAGAGATGGTCGAGATCCAACCACTTTTGGCTTTGTCAGAAGGCAAAGAAGGATAATAGAGTAGCTAGTGTGGTGAAGATTGATGGTAGGAGTGAGAGCAAAGGAACGAGTCAACGGCGTTTGACGATTTGTAATGATTTTCTCTTGTTGTTTTGGTGAAGGGAGAGGGAAGCAAAGAGAGAGAGGCAGAGCTAGAGAGATTGGGAATGGTGAAGGGAGATGATTGTTGTTCTTGTTATTTTGGAGAGAGGAAAGGGTAAAAGAGGTAGAGAAGGATTGAGTGTCGACAATGTCGAGGGGAACTACTAGGTTATAGAATAACCGACCAATCGAACTGGATGAAGCGCCATTGGAGTGGTGTTGGCTTTGGTTGGAGGTTTCGACCCTTTCTCATCTAGGAAAACCAACCCGTTGGTTTGGTTAAATTGTAACCAGATTGTTTATCAGTCCTAGACATATTACCATAGCGATAACATCATGATATGACAGTGATAAGATGAGTGAAAATTTTTGCTAAAAAAAAATATCATCTTGTAGGGCACAAATGTTTTGATTTTTCTACGCAATTTTTTTGAAATCTGATTCAAAAACGAATGAGATATCGTCCCTTGAATAGTCGCAGTAGATTTACAAAGTACATTTACTGTCGTCTAAAGACCTGCGCCAGTTCCAAAAGTCTGCCAAAATGTACTCTAAACCCCAGCTTTCCCTCCTTACCTTATGCAATGACTATTAGATCAAACCTTCTCCAATCTCAACCATCCACATGTGGTTTTGTAGTAGTACAAAATAGGTGGGTTTCCTGTTACAACCTATCCCATGACATTTTAATAGGATATGTTATAGTACAAAGCCCTCCTATTACGTAGTACTACAAAACCATATATGGATGGTTGAGATTGGAGAAGTTGTGATCTAACGATCATCTCCGGAGAGAGAAAATGTGGGAAAGTAGGGGTTTGGGGGATAACTATGCAGATTTTTTGGGGCTGTTGTGGATCTTTAAGCGACAGTTAATACACTTTTCAAATCTTCTACGAATTTTAAACGGACGATATATCATTCGTTCTGAATTTCAAAAAATTTTGCAAGTAGAAAAATCAGAGTTTTTTGTGCTCTAAAATATGATATCAATTTTGATGTTTTTT